GTAAAGGTAATGAAAATTCTAAATTATTTTGCAAAGTTTGTATCTTTATCGATTTTTATATAACATTTAAATTTTAATTTTTTAAAGTATTTCCTAATAAGACATTCAATTATTGCAACCTTACTGATGCACCTGTTGAAAGAGCTGTAAACTTGGTTAAAATGAGTGTTGATGGCTACAACATTGAAGGGTTAGAAGAATTTGTTGGAGTTTTGGGTGGCAGGTTAACTGATTTAAGATTTTTTATAAATAAAATTCGTGGTGGGCAAACTCCTCGAGGTAAGTTTAACAGCACTTCAATATTTTTTTTGAATATTGTTTTTAGAAGTAAATTATTTTCGTATTAAATTATTATTATTTTAAGATGCCTTAAATGATTTAATAACAAAAGCCACTATTGAGATTCGAAAAATTGGCTTTGGTGATGATACGGACGACGCAAAAACTATCCCTTGGAAGGGAATACAATTTTGGAATGTGATGAAGGAATTGGCTCGAAGCGATCATGTATGTAATTTTTCTCTATTCTAAGATGTACTTTTCATTGGTCATCTTTATTTGCATATACTTAATTTTATTTGTATTAATCTTTTTTATGCGTGTATTAAGGTATCATATGACGCAATCAAATTTTCACCATTCTTTAATGGGGATGATACAGCAATTAGAGCTATGGAAGAAGCAGTGTTGATAAATATTTTGCAGCTTAGTGGTATGTTAATGGAAAAATTTAATGACTTTTAAGATATACAAGATTTCGTTAATTCTAAGTTTTTTTTTCGAAAAGGTCGACCTGATCAGATTCAACCTGGAAAACCACTTTATAAAGCTGCATTTGAACATATATTATCTGACTCAATATTTGCCGCCACTATGGAATTACAAACTGCCCAATATATGTTATCTCTTGAAACTGGCAAAATAAATAAATTTGAAGAAGAATTGGAGAAATTAGGGCAATTATTTGTTAAACAAGAAGGAAAATGGCTATTGGGTGGTGGACATGTTCCAGCTTCTGTAAATGAGAGGGTGAAATTTTTATTATCGAGATTACAAAAATCTCATACAAATGCTGAGAAATGGCAATTAGAAGTTGATAGGCTTAAAAAAGTTGTTGCAAGTAGTAGTGCATGATTATTGTATTAGTAGGTTAATTATTGAATGACATTAAAGTTTAATAATAGAAATTTTGAAATTATATTTAGTCTTTTAAATACTTTTATATTTCAACTCAATTTATTTTATGGATTTTTTTTTAAAAACATCTTAAAATTTGGTTGGCTATGTTATATATAACTACTACTATCGAATAATAAATTTATTCTTAAAAGGAACGGCACTATTTATATATAATAAAAATTTTAAAATTAGTATTATCATATATTCATATGCAATGTTCTATATTAAGGAATATTTTGAATAAATTACACTTAAATAATTTAACTTTCATTTTATAGTTTTTTTATCAGGCAAGTTCTATTTGTAAATTAGTGTATATATATAATAACTCAAAATTTTGCGTATGAAACCACTCTTTGTTCCTAATAAAAAAAATCCATGAAGTTTTAGTATAAATTACACTCAAATATATCTTAATCTAATCTTTTCTTTTAAAGTGCTATATTGATCTACAAATTATACCCGTGTGTAAATTAATAAATTTTCTTTTTATTATCTATGATTTATATCAATTTTTGTCATAGAATAATTATCTATTAAAAAATTAATATAAATGGATCTTTTATACAGAACGGCTTAATATATTCAATGCTATGATGTAACTAAATATATATGCATTTTAGTAAACTATTAAATTAAATTTACTAAGGTAAATGCTCAATTTATTCTGTTATTATTAATCCAAATTATGATTTAATTATAAGGTAGCTACCTCTTCGCGTCACCATATATAAAATTTGGTTAGTGATGCCTATACGTCGCTATCTACGTTACTACCATAAGTTATTTAATATTCTAATGTCTATAGCTTTAGGTTTAATATGCATACTAATAAATTATGATCAATTCTAAGTATAATGGAATCCTTACACCGAATTCACCGGCTTAATGGACCAAAATTGAAATACCAAAATTTAGTAATTAAAATAGTTATA